CCCCCACTGGCCGCGGTTCGCCGTCCCGGGCCAATGGGGGCGGCAGGAACCCGCGGCCAGTGGGGGCCGCGATCGGCCAAACCTGCCGCGTCAGCAGGTAAATAAACTGGCCCAGCCCGCCAGGGTGCTTACCCTGGCGAGCCGCATGCCAAACATTGCCGACCCCTGCTCTAATGTTATACGCAACTGAACACAGCCCCATGTTCTCTCTACCTGGTGGTGAATATACATTTAAGGTTTACATGTAAGCTACCCAACCCACACACTTCATATCAATGGCAAATCTTTTTAGATAAAGTGTCATATGGTGACATATTTCAAAGAATGCAATTTCAGCATGCACTGATGTGCAACTGTGCATGCAAATGAATGGCTATATTTACAGGAAAGCAACTATTTAGATCTGTTCCAGTTGGGGGCCTGGGGAGCCCACAGAGGATAGATAGGATCAGATCCTCGGGGGGGGGGGGGAAGACCCCAAAGACCACAACTATAACTGTGGTGCCCCCTTCCTGGGCTCAGACAGCTAGAATGAATATTTTATATGAGAATGTGAGAAACCTTTATCTTCAATGGGGAGGGAGGAGGAGAGAAATTGTTCCTTAATAGCAGCCTCTGAAATAAATGGATCAGTTTAGGAAGTCTAATTGTGATTAAAGTATTGTTACAAAATGTGGATTTTATAGTGAAAAATGTCGAAGCCATTAAGTAGAATCAGCTCAAAATCTGAATTTCCTGTGCCGCTCCTGTGTACAGCACAATTTGAAATGAGAATATATAAAAGTGCCTTCTCTTTCACATTTTGCAAGATTCACAGAACTCCACCTGAATTTAAAATAACTAGAATGTACAGTCATCAAACCATAAGTTTTTCCATTTAGCTTTGCATCTGAGGTGTGATGAACATAGATCTTTGGTATGTAAAAGTAGGGTCTAACCCTACTTCTAGCATCAGTGACTTCTTTAAGGTAGTGCTTTTTAAAATTCTTTTTCAGAGCTCAAAGTCCTACATGAATGGTACAAATAAATTCAGAGTCCATAAGCCAACCTTAAATCTTAAAGAAACCAACAATCTTCGGGTAAAATGAAATTTCTTAAGTTAAAATTGTATGTAAGATTTTCTAAGCTCAGATATAATCTTTCCAATGAAAATGGCTTTACCTATGAATTTTTCAATCTGCTAAAGATCTTATAGAAAAATATAAATATAAAAATATTTCAACTTACTGTAAACAGTGTTTTAGGGGGAGATTTTTCAAAGACACAAAAGACAGCTAGGTGACTGACTGCCCTTTATGCATATGAAAATCTTCCCCTTAATTTCTTCTGTAGTGTCCCCTTAGTGTTTTTTGCTTTCGGCTGGAGATTTACTGCTTCTTAAAAACAATGACAGATTTAACAACTTCTGTGCCCTATTGTCCTCGCCTACAAAACCAGTTGCATCAGTTCTGTGGTACACTTTGAGTTCTTCAGAATGAAAATTTAATTTTAAAAGAAGGGGAAGAGTAGCGAGAGCAATGTCAGCAAAATTCACAGTAGTGATAAGGGGATGAGCCTAAACAGATAGCCTGGATCAAAAACATCCCCAAATTTGGGAGACCTTCAGATCCCAACATTGTAGTTGTGACCAATCTCTGCAATAATCGCATCCCTGAGTTTCATTTAGGAGAGCAGAGTAATGTGCTGTACACTACAAGGCACAAATAACCAAAACTTAAGTACCTTTCATTCTGCATCCCTTTGTTTACTAAATATACTATGAAGGCCAAGAACATAAGAACAAGGTTCAAAAAAGAGCTAGATAAATTCATGGAGGATAGGTCCATCAATGGCTATTAACCAGGATGGGCAGGGATGGTGTCCCTACCCTCTGTTTGCCAGAAGCTGGGAATGAACGACAGGGGATGGATCACTTGATGATTACCTGTTCTGTTAATTCCCTTTGGGGCACCTGGCACTGACCACTGTCAGAAGACAGGATACTGGGCTAGATGGACCCTTGGTCTGACCCAGTAGGGCCATTCTTATGTTCTTATGATATATTACAAGGGAATGTATTTGATTATTCACTAATGAGTAGAGGAGAGACCATTTCTCCCACATCATATTAAGGGACAACACAGCTGGTTTTGTTTCTTTGGTGTTATCCGAAGCCCATTAAAGGCTATGTGAGTCTTTCCACTGAGTTCCAAGGACTCTGGACCAAGCCCTTACTGATGAGCAGCTATTTTACGTGTTCCTCTTTTCATTCTAAGGCCTGAGTTATGCCTGGTAGGCAGAGCCTGTAATAAGGCTTGATGTGCAGCTGAACCACTCCAGGGGAACAAAATGGCTCCTGGAGCTCCCTGCGGGAGAGGAATAATTTGCTACACCCTATTACGGTGCCTAATAGACCCCCATCACATAGCTAACAAGCTCTCCTGGTTTGCGGGGTGGAGAAACAAAGGCATGATTTCAAGTATCAGAGGGGTAGCCATGTTAGTCTGTATTCACAAAAACAACAAGGAGTCTGGTGGCACCTTAAAGACTAACAGATTTATTTGGGCATAAGCTTTTGTGGGTAAAAAAACCCACTTCTCTTCAAAGGCATGATTCTGCCTTCTCCACTTTTGTCTTGTTGCTGGCAGAGGAAGCAACTTGTTAGCAGCGCCTGCACTCCCCTGAGTGCAGGGACTTCTGATTCTGGAGGTCCATTACGTGGGCCACCCATGGGAGGCAGAGTCCATGCTCTCTCTCCCTTCTGTGCAGGCATTGGCCACTGTTTAGCGCTCTGATTTTTTTGGGAAATGGTTAGTTATTTGTGTGCTTAATATGTAACTTTTTGAGCGGTTGGACTTCAGCATGGAGACTGAACACTTTGGGTTGGGAGGCACCTCTTCCCACCCTCCATGCTGAGAACATCTATAGAGAAAAAGAATAGAGTTATTCTCTCTCCCCATTGTACATACTTATTTACTGAACTTTGCAGGCCCTTTGTTTGCAAAAACAATCCTTCTGAAAATGAGAACTGAGTGCAGTCTAAGTATAGTATTCATGATACTGGACAACGTAACATCTCATTTCCTTGGCGAAGTACAGCTCTGAATATCACCTGAGGACCATTTTTTAAAGGTTTTCTACAGGTGGTAGGTGGTTATTTGGTTGCTTGTTTGTCATATAGACTTTTTTTTTAAAATGAGAGTAGTCTTCATCTAATTCTCTGTGGGGAGAAACATACAAAAAAACTAGCCCTGGGTAAATACTGCCAAAAATTCTGAGATTACTCATTCTTAAACTGCTTCCACTGTGTTTGCTCCCCCCAGTGGCCAGTGAGTTTACTTGCAGGAATATTCATGGAAATAGAAAGGATTTAATCTATTAGAAGTTATTGACAGGAGCAAACTTTACATTTGTAAATGAGTACTGGTATTCACACCAGAAAACAGATTCTGGATTTGTCCCTTCAGAGAAAAGAAATATCTTGTGACCAGAACAAAACAAAAATCTTCGTTTCATTTCAAAATGTTGATGTGAATCTAACCACTTTTGTTTTCACGTCTTCCTGTGGTAACAATTGAAATTTGTTTCTCAGAATTGATTATTTTCTCCTCCAAAAATTCAGTTTCAATTGCAAAGTCATATTTTTTAGGTAGGAAAACTTTCCACACACCATACTTCAACCAGTTCTACTTGTCACCTATGTGTTCAATCAAAATTAACCAAACCATTCTGAACTAAGTATATTCACTGTCTACAGTGAACTGTTTGAGTACAACCTGCAGCCCAGATGTTACTTGCCAGTATTATGCTCGGAATAATTTTAAAATAATGGCAAGAGTCTTGAATCTCATAAGCTGTTTTTGGACAATTCATAAACACAAAGAGCTGAAATTTGAAAATAAACTGTTGGCTGTAATTTGCTCTGCCAGCTCTAATCATAATTCTCAGTAATTGGCACTCTTGTTGTCAGTTTGTGCAGAGAGGCTATAGACTGAATGGATAAGGAGACTTTATCCTGAGAGGTGTTCCATCTTGATCATGACAGACGGACACTGGCTGAGCAGCATTGGGGTGCTTGCTGTCAAATCTGTCAGAGTTAATGTGTGTTTTCTTTGCTATCTGAGTTAGTTGTTCATAATGTTGAGAAATAACCAGGCAAAAAATGCTCTCTCTTGGCCTCTGCTCTGTTTTTGAGACCTTGCCCTTTCCCCCTCCAGTTGAGGATAACTGTATCTAATCTTGCTCTTGTAAATGTGGAGTTGAATATATTTTTTACAATGGGTACACTATAGCTAAGCTAAGGTTATCATAGTTCTGCTTCTTGCTGCCTGTACAAACAGCAGATGTTCAGTGGTTTTAGAACTAGTCAATTCCTAGCATACTAGATTGGCAGCTCTGACTGATTCTTAGCTGACCACTCTAAACACTATAACAAGAAAAATAATATTCAGTATATGCAACAAATAAAAGCAGAATGTGTTTCTAGATACATTACCTATCATGTCAGGTTGGCCTCTTAAAATTATACACTATTGAGCAATAATAAATCCTTCCCCAGAGCTCAGGAGTGTACCATATGTCTGTTCACTCTCACTGACAAAGCTGAAAAGTATTATCCCTGCCAAGCTCAAATTGCTTTTTCCGTATCTAGCTCAGTCTAGCACTTAACTCCAAGATATTGATATATATCTCCAACTTGAATTGCTAAGAGAGGTGATATGTGTTGTGTATTGGTAACTTCCACTTCAGAATTATCATCTCTTTGCATTAGTAAGCTTAGAGTCACCTGTCTGAGAAATGAGCAGCATTTACTCAGACAATTCCAATCAGGCTATTATGCTTACAGGTATCCTGCAGGGTTTACTCTGCCCTTATTCAAGCAATGCTCCTGTGGAAGTCAATAGGAAGTTTTCCTGAATAATGACTGAAGGGATTTTGACCAATGTTTTTGTTTTGTGTTTGGGATTGATAGCTTGAATTGCAAATGTTAAACTAAAGTATCAATGGTGTTTCAGTTATTCAAAGATTAAAAACTGAAATTAAGTGTCTACTGCTAATTTGTTGCCATTTAAAATAAAACAAAAGTATAAATAGGATTATTTCAAAATCACTCAATAGAAAGTGTCATTTTCAAATCTGTTCCATCATTTTTAAGCTGTAACATCTGTTCTCCATGTCAGTTTGTTTAATATTAATCAGACACTTTCCATCTACCGCACAAGTACGGGGGGGTGGAATAATGTACCAATTTACCTTTCCAAGCTTAGATTCAAATAAATGTGATAGTATTAAGCTCTTCACCAAGATTTAATATAAATGTGTGATGGTTAGGAGAAGGGTGAACGTACATTAAAATCGTCTTGCAGCTAAAAAGAGAAGCATTGCTAGGTCATCTTAAAGGGTGACAGTGCCACAGGGTGCAGGTGAAATACTGGGTTGCTACAACTACTGAACCTATCATTTTTACAAGCTGGCAAAATAGTTTTGATGGACCTTGACAGCTTTGTATCCAAAATTTCTGCCACCACGCATGGGAGTGAGTGCTGAATCTTGGATTTAGGTTTGAACTTCCTCAAGATTCGGGGAGGGAGCACGTGAGAGGTTTTGCTTCAATGTAATCTCTGGATAATTGGCTTCACACACTTAGGCATGGATTCCAGTCCCTACTCATATTGAATAGTACTTTATCCCAACAGCACTGTTGAACAGAGGTGCCAAATCAGATACTTCCAAGGGAGGATGATCAAATTATGGTCCCTTCCCGACTGCCTCCTCCTGAAGGGACCCCAGGTTTCCCTCACCCAGGGAGTGTCCATCTCTCTTACCACATGGTGCTTGAGCCAGTTTGAGTTCTCGGTGGGCTCCCCTGCACTCTGCTGTAAAGGAACAGGCTCCTGGTGCGCCAGGTCACCACATCATTTCACCCCGCCGCTCCTCCAAAATTTCAGTGGCGTGGTAACCGTATGCTCCAGGTTGCAACACCATTCACTGAAACGTGGCCTGGCCACCCCTTCATGTGTACAGAGGGGAGGCCAGGTCAAACTTTAGTGGCAATGTGACTACACAGCTGGGGTGTTGGTCCAGACTGCTCTGGCAGCAG